CACCTACAATTAAGTAGGCCTGAGATACAAAGCTGGTTCAACATATGCAAATAAATATATGCAATTCACTATAAAAACAGAATTAAAAGCCAAAACTGTATGATCATCTCATAAAACATGGGAAAGGTCTTTAATAAAATCTAACATCTTTTTATGATAAGAACCATTAAAAAACTAGGCATCAGAGGAACATACTTCAAAATAGTAAGAGCCCTGTATGACAAATCCACACCAGCATCATACTGAATGGGCAACAGCATGAAGAATTTCCCTTGAGAACTGGAACAAGATGGCAATGCCCACTCTCATCACTCCTATTTAACACAGGACTGAAAGTCCTAACCAGAACCATCAGTCAAGAGACAGAAATAAAATATATTCAAACAGGAAAAAAAGAAGTCAAACAATCTCTCTTCTCCAAAAATATGATTCTATAACTAGAAAACCTTAAAGACCTTTCCAAAAGACTCCTGGAACTGATAAACAACTTCAGTAAAGCATCAGGATACACAATAAATGTACAAAAAGCAAGAGAATTTATACACAACAAGAACCTTTAAACTGAGAACCAAATTAAGAATGCAATCCCATTTACAACCACCACAAAGAAATACCTAGGAATACATCTGAACAAAATGGTGAAACCTTTCTGCAAGGAGAACTACAACACACTGCTGAAAGAAATCATGGATGACACAAACAAATGGAAAAACATTCCATGCTCATGGATTGGAAGAATCAAGAGTGGGCCATTGTCAAAATGGCCATACTGCAGGGCTACAGTAACTAAAACAGCATGGTCTGTTACAAAATCAGACACATAGACCAATGAAACAGATTAGAAAACCCAGAAATGAAGCTGTATACCTACAGTCATCTTATCTTTCACAAAGTTAGCAAAAACAAGCAACGGGGAGAGGAATCCCAGACTGCTGGGATAGCTAGGTAGCTGTATGCAGAAGAATGAAATGAAGCAACTACCTTTCACCAAATACAAAAATTAACTCCATGGATTAAATATTTGAATGTTAGACCTAAAACTATAAGAATCATAGAAGAAAATGTGGAAAACACCATTACAAACATCCACCTCGGGAATTTATGACTCAGTCCTCAAAAACAATGGCAACAAACCAAAAATTGACAAATGGAATCTAATTAAACTAAAGATCCTCTGCTCAGCAAAAGAAACCAGCAAGAGAATAAACAGACAGGCTACAGAATAGGATAAAATATTTGCAAACTATGTATCTGACAAAGGTCTAATATCCAGAATCTAAAAGAAACTTAAACAAATCAGCACCAAAAAAAAAAATCCTATTAAAAAGTGTGAAATAGACACACAAAGACACTTCTCAAAAGAAAACATACAAGCAGCAAAAAATATATATATTTATTTATATATAATATATAAATTTCCTATATAAATTATATATCTATTTATATTTCATTTATATAAATATATATTTATATTTCATATATATATTTCATATATATATATAGGAAAAAAATGCTCATCATCACTAATCTTCAGAGAAAAGTAAATTAAAAACCACAGTGAGATACCATCTCACACAAGTCAGAATGGCTATTATAAAAAGTCAAAAAATAACAGATGGTGATGAGGCTATGGAGATAAGGGAACACTTAGGCGTTGTTGGTGAGAAGGCAACATAGTTCAGCCCTGTGGAAAACAGTATGGAGAATTCTCAAATAATTAAAAATGGAACGACGATTTGACCCACGATTCCTATTCCTAGGTATATGCCCATAGGAATACAAACCGTTCCATCAAAAAGACACATGCACTCACATGTTCATTGTAGCACCATACACCATAGCAAAGACATGGAATCAACCTAAGTGCCTATCGGTGGTTGATTGGATAAAGAAAATGTGGTACATATACCCCATAATATACTACACAGCCATACAAAGGAATGAAATTTATATCCTTTGCATTAACATGGATGCATCTGGGTGCCATTTTCTTAAGGGAATTAATGCAGTAACCAAAAACCAAACACTGCATATTCTCACAAGTACTTTGAGTACTTGTGGATATAAAGATGGGAAAAAAAGACACCAGGGACTACTAGAAAGGGGAGGAAGGGAAAGGGTATTATCTGTACCCCAAACCTCAGCATCACGTAATATACCCATGTAACAAACCTGCACATGTACTCACTGAATCTAAAATAAAAGTTGAAGTTATTTAAAACAATAAAACATAAAGATAAGTCTATGCAATAGCATGTTAATCTGCTCATTTTTATGTTTATTTTAGAATTAATCTAATAATTGAAATTTATGTAGATAACTTACTAAAAGTTGTGATTACTTAATTTGATAGCATGACTTCAAATATAGATTATTATTAATATTAGATTAATCTTAGCAATTCTGAATTGGAAGGAACACAAGTAAATGGAAGCACCCTTTTATCTAGATTTTCACTGTCTAATACAGTCACAAACCTCATGAGACCATAAATTTAAGTTACTTAAAATTAAATAAACTTAAATATTCAGTTCCTCAGCTATACCAGCTACATTTTTAATACAAAGACTTGCATATACTAGACAGATAATATCGATTTGTTGTTGTGAAGTTGAATGATGAGGTAAAGAACATATTCAAATTTCTGTAATTAGACCTTAGTGTAAATGGATGAGATTATCCTAAACATCACAGAGTTCATATTGAGAGTTTTAATCTCTTTAAATCTAAGAGCTAACTCAGGTCATACTAAGACCTTGATATTTTTTAACCATTTGCTGAAAAAAATTAGTTGCATTTCCCTGTGCTTCTTTTTCTATGCCCAGTTGAATCTCAATGAATTGAAACTGCTGATCATACATCTGAGGTGTCCAAGGGAGCTCTTCAGAAGCCCCTGTTTATCCATTGTAGCCAAATGTTCATAAGCTGTCTATTCAAAAAACATCACTGTTGAGAATAAAGTAAATTTTTATGGCATATGATACTAGACAAGGAGAGACAGGTGAGATGTATTGAATTTCATTCAATTAATTTTGCTGCTATTCCAAGAACTGTACTAATCCTTAAGAATACAAAAACAAAAAGTCATTTACCAACATTCAAGAAGTCCTCTGCCTTAAACAGTGGTTTTCAAACAGTAACAGTATGGCAAAGCATGACCCAATATAATGGTGTTTCTTGAACTCTTTTCAGCTAAGTGCCAAATTTTGTAAGATGTATAACATGCATTTTGATTTTAAACTCTCTACACCTGTTTTATGACCACATCTGTCAGGCTGAATGCTACACTATTTGCTGAGCAAGGTACAACTTGCTTTGAGTCAGAGGTAAGAGATGAAGCATAAAATTAAATGAATGTCAAAGAAACTGTTTTCCGGGACATTCAAACACTTGGCCCCATGAGAACATGAGAGAGGTTATTCAGGGAAGTAAATATCTCTTTCTAAAACAAAGATGGTGCTCATGGCACATGTATACCTCTGTAACAAACCTGTATGTTTTGCACATGTATCCCAGAACTTAAAGTATAATAAAAAGGAAAAAAAAAAGAAACATGGCGTTGAATAACTGACATTAAATAGCGCAGTAACTCTTCATTATTTTATAGACACTCTGAAATGTTGCATTGTAGAGATGTTGTTATATTTTTACTGACTTGTGGGTAATATCTTTTTTAGCCTTAATTTGCCAAATGTGCTGCCAAATTTTTCGTAGAATATTTATAAGTAACCTACAAATATAAAAATCATGGGAAACACAGACATATGAATACAACCATAAAATGCAATTATATATACACATCTAATATATATTATACACATACATTGAATATATACATATAATATGTTTGTCATACACATATATCTAATATATGCATATAATATGTGTTATCATATACATACTTCTAATATATACATATATATTATATATGATAATAAATATATATTAGATGTATGTGTATGACAACAATCTTGAGAATCAGAGAGAGCATGATTAAAGAGGTAAATATCAATGTTCTGCATTGATAATAATCTATAAATTTCTTTAAAAGAGGTAGCAAATGATTAGAAATGAAACGGAAAGACCAGTATTGCTTTTGTATGAAAATAATTTGTAATGTGAGGGTGCTAGGGACATGAGAAATGAGGCTTCAGAGGTAAGCATGGAGCTGACCATGATATACTTTGAATACCATGCCAAAGAATTCTGTGTATCATAAGAGCTGATGAAGGGGTTTCAGTTGAAAAATGAATATAAATTATGAAACAATAGTTTAGGTTTGGTGGACTCAGCATGGTGAAGATTTGAGGTGAGAGTTTTGAAACAGCTTATGGAATAAACAATTCTTTGATGCGATATATTGTAAAGATGGAAAGTTTCAAGCTAACTTAATCAGTTTTTTCCACGGAGGTACTGAAAGAAAAAACGAGTTTGCAACTTTTGTCTTCTACTCATTAGCAAAGTTATATTCAAGCCTATAGTAGATTATAAAATTGTGCTAGCTAGGACAACCAAATATTATCACAATAGGGCAGGCAGTTAGCTAAGTGGTTGAAGATAATTTCAGTTCTCAATGTCCGCCTTACCCACAGTAGTTATTTTAAAGCCTGACCTGAAGGGTAAGCCATCTGTGGTCATTATCAACCCTGCTTTTCCCCAGTATTAGAGGTGTCTCAAAGATGTATCAAATTTTTGGAGGTGGTTGTTTCACCCTCTCTAATGGTCAAATTTTTTCTGTATTTTTGTTTGATGACCATTCCCTACAACATTTTACAACAGCTACACAGCAGTATTTAAAACAGTGGAAATCACACACCTAAATAGTGCAACACATGAAACATCAGAAAAATTATCACAGTTTATAGTCTACTTCTCAGCCAGTAACCAGGATGTCCCCCAATCAAACCAAACGCATAAATTCTATTCTCAATCCAAAGTGACCTCAGAGTCAGATATAATTATCCAGATTATCTAATTCTTTTGTTTGTTTTTTTCCCCAGACATTTTGTTTCTTTCCCAGATCTTTCATATTGAAGATCTCAGAAGGAGAGGCATGGATATGGGCACAGAACTCTTTGCCTAAAACACGGTATGTTCTTTCTTGAGACGCCGATATGCTAGCTAAAAAGGCTGCATACTGAATCATTGCCAGTTCGCTTGTATGTGCAAGTACATTATCTAGTACCCTTTTTATTTTCTGATATATATCAGGTACAATATTCTCATCCTCTGGGCGTCCTTTAAAGCACGGAGTGAAGAGGCTTGAAGAGAGAGAAAAGTAGAGATCCCTTGGAGGGGGTAGAGTTTCATTTCTGAATATGAGACTGAGTGTTGTAACGATGTGGCACTGCTCATCTGGAATGTTATGACCACAGGAAATAAAAAATTTTAGTATCAAGACAAATAGATTTAAAGCAAAAGAGAAGAAGTGCTTCATGCTCATCAAATCAGTAAAAGGGAGATAAGTCTCCAAATATACACCATCTGTTCTCTAATCCTCCTCCAAGTTTTATTTCTATGAAAGTTCATTTGCCAACAAGCTAAAAAAAAATCTAGCTCCTATGAAAGGTTCTAGAGTAGTGTTTTGAAGGAGACAAAAGCCTCTTTTTCTAATTATGAAGCAATAGAGAATTTTAGATTTCTGGCTGTTTGGCCTGTTGGGGTGTATGCTATTTAAAAGTTACCTAATGTTTCAGTCAGTTACCCAGGAAACCAACTAATTTATCACAAGTAAATTATATCAAGGTAAGCTAGGTGGCTCCTGAAAGAAAACCAATCCCCCAGTCCATTTTATTGTATTATTTAGCTAGTTCACAAATAAACTGTGTCCCAGTATTGAACTCATAATAAAGAGTAACTAAAGATGCAAAAAAGGTATTAAGAATGGAGGACTTCTTTTTTATAGATAACATACTTAAGAGTAGTCTTAAACCAGCAAAAGAGGAAAGAAAATAGCTAGGAAAATAAAACAAAAATAAAGTCTAAGAGTGGTAGTCTATCTTGTTGTTTCATGTACCTTGGGCAACCATTGTCTACATCTCAAAAAGCAAAGTATTTGATTCAAAAGTCATGGAAGAAGTTATCTGAAACTGGTTTCAGAAAGATCCTGACTTCTCAGATTGAGGTGTCTAGGTGAGACCGTCTTCTAGGGATTTGAGGATGGTTTTGTTGTTTTTGTTGAGATATGAATTATAAATGCCAATTCTTTGGAGTTTCCCTGCTCAGATAGCTAATAGTATCCGATAGAAGTCTTTCCATCAGTGTTTAAGAAATGTGATTTTCCGGCCGGGCGCGGTGGCTCAAGCCTGTAATCCTAGCACTTTGGGAGGCCGAGACGAGTGGATCACTAGGTCAGGAGATCGAGACCATCGTGGCTAACACGGTGAAACCCCGTCTCTACTAAAAATACAAAAAACTCGCCGGGCGAGGTGGCGGGCGCCTGTGGTCCCAGCTACTCTACTCGGGAGGCTGAGGCAGGAGAATGGCGTGAACCCGGGAGGCGGAGCTTGCAGTGAGCTGAGATCCGGCCACCGCACTCCAGCCTGGGCGACAGAGCGAGACTCCGTCTCAAAAAAAAAAAAAAAAAAAAGAAAAAAAAAAGAAATGTGATTTTCTACTGCCTTATCCAAAAGACCAGATCTTCAGGGAATAAGTTTTGCAAAGATGGTTTAGGAGGACATTGAGGAATGGCTGCCTATGCCTATTGATAAGAATGGGGCACTGCATTCGTCTTTTGAAATATGTGGCCATGTCTGTTTGTATAAATATGGAGTTTAGAATAGATGGTATTGCTAGACACATGGTTATCAGATTGTAATGGAAAATTTGAAGCATTTTGTAAAGTAATAAGAAATACGTATATCGGACTCTGCCCCGAGTTATTGAGAGTTCTTAAGACCTTTGTAATTTCCTGAATATAGGGCCATCTGACACAAAGCTTCTAAATCTCTTGAAATTTCCTGGGTAATTAGAGCATCTTTTGTTGTCATTAAGCCATACGTTGTGGGCTCTTGGATAGCTTCAGGGTGGAGGCTGGCTGTCAGGGGATCCAACCATCTGATTAAAGGATTGGGAATTTCCGCCCCAACTATGACCTGTAGGGAGGGGAAAAGGGCTGAAGGCTGATTTTGTCACCAATAGTCAATGATTTAATTAATCGTTGTCTGGTTTCCTGTGCATCTTAAGTCTCTGCATTATCCCCACCTGCTTCCTGCCCCAGATTTGTGGGAGTCTCCCTTACTGCTAGTTGATGAATGCTGGGGGCCAGCTCTTGGATATGAATTCTACCTAATGGCAACATTGCTTGTTGCTGCCACCCCAGGAAAATCATATAGCAGTTAAATCTGTACTTACTGCACGTGTGTATCTGTTAGGAATTTCCCCATTGGCCTCTTTCCCACCTTATCAGCTTGAAGCTAACAACATTCTGACAGCGTGACTGCAGAATAAGTGATTACTGAGCATCTTACAAGGTGCTCTGGGGCATTCCTTTCTGCTTAGGTATTCCCCCTCCTCTCTGCTTGTATCTGGCGTGCATGTTTCCAGTGGTCCCTGGGGTGTTAGATTTTCCAGAGCTTCCTTTCTCATGGGCTCTCCCTTCCTGTTCATGTCTAGCTATCTGCCTACTCTAATAATAACTCATTTCAAGAGAAAAGTATAAAAAAATCTGTTTGAAGACATTTGTAATGGTTCCGAGGTTTAGGCTTCTGTATGTCACACCTTCACAATTTATCAGGATTATCATGGTAACAGATACACCCGAAACAAATTTAGAAGTTTTAGCATAAATGTTTATCAACAAAATTTGTTGGCCAATTTATCGTTGCCATGGTGGTAATTTTATATACAATGTTTTCAAGGCTCCACCTGAGATCTCCAGTGCAACACAGCGGCCAATTTAAGGGTTGCAAGGATTAGTCTCTCGCTTGACGTTGTAATTTCTCCCAGCATCTGTTTTCTAATAGGAGATAATTATGGGGATTTAAAATTTTCTCTGTAAACCTCTCTAACGATTTGTCTTCTTGGTATATTATGAGTACTAGGATCTTATCATGAGAGTCTGTCTGGGGAAATAATCATGCAGAAAATTTCCTTTAGCTTCTCTACATCTATCTTTTCTTCATGACTTTCAACATTTATAATAGCCATTACCATAGAATGTATTAGGGCATGTAAGGTTTATTTCATATGCTGATCATTCTTCATTGGGTCACTGCTGAGGTCAGGGAATTTTGTTGTTCCCAACAGTTTCTGAAATTATGGATGACCACAAAAGAAGATTCCGTTATCACTGTATACGTAAGTCCTCTTACCTCCAACTAACCATCAAACTCTAGAGAGCTTGGTTTAGTTCTGCCATCTTGGCAGAATTTTCCTATGATGTAATTTTCCCTATGTTACAGCTTTAATAGTCTCCTTTTTCCTTCTTAAGGTATGATCCAGCCACAGAAAATTTTTGTTTTAATTTTCTAAAGGGATTTCTAATAAGTCTGAGTGGTCTTTTTTTGTTTTAGTTTTGGATTTATAGGCTAGTATCAGCAAGATTGAGAAAACAATAGGAGTTCCTTTTCTACCCGTCTTTGACTATTGGTTTTAACTTCTCATTTGAAAAGTATAGCTGATAATTTTAAAAAGTATCATCCTTTTAAAAATTTTTTAAAATTAGTTATTTATTTGCTTCTGGTTTTAAAGAGTGTAATACCAGTTTCAGTAGAGGATTTGTTGGGTTGATCTGAACCTTCATGGGTTCAGCCCCAATAATTCTACCTATGGCATGACATTTTTGCCTACACATTACTTAGCATATTCTTTAGATCTTCAATTTGGGTTTAATATAGATACAAAGGTACCTCTAAGTAAACGTCCAAATTCGATATGACCATTTATGAATAGGAGAGTTCTCGAAGATGTCAAGAAAGGGCAATAAAAGGGAAAATTTTATTTATACTGTAAGATATTCCCTATTAAGTTAATGGTTGTGATGTAACAGAGGAAGAAAAAATACCCCCTGGTTCGGGTGTGAGCATGAGAGACGTGGGAAAGGATACAGGGAATGTCTGAGAATTATTAGAGATTACTACTTCCTGAGTAGTTTCTTGACTCTGAGAAAAAGTTTGTGTAACAGTTGTAAGGTTAATGTCAGTATTGTAGCATCATATCAACTGTTTTTTGTTTTGTTTTGTTTTGCACACCGGATTTTTAGTATTTAAGGAAGTTTGTATGTGTATGTGAGTTTAAGGGCAATGTGGGAAATTGAGTACTTGATTAGTCCTCAGTACCTTCCATGATTATTGCACTTTTTTCTTCCAGTTTCTCGGCTCATATAAACCTCTTTTGTTCAAAATTCTTTCTCTTTAAAGTGTCTAAAAGTATCTTTATCAAGATACTCCCTCCTTTGATGCTTAATGCCTGGAGTGGAAGTAGCTAATTGTTTTATTAGAAAGGCCAGCAATTTATGCTGAGTCATAATCTGTTTTGGAATCAAGGCTCTGTTCAGTGAGATAATGGAGGCCTGGCAATTACTATGCTTTATTTACAACAACAATCTAAAAATGTATTCTTACAACTGCATAAACATAATTTTAGAAAGTATTATAAACACTGATGCAGACATATAAGGCTTTTTTCCCTAATATTTTTTATATTTAAGACTGTACTTCACAGGTCCATATTTCTGTGCCTTATCATATTGTGAATATGTTAGTATCTACGATACATTGCACTGTTTTATTAAACTGTGACTATACTTGTTTATCATAAAGAAAGAAATTCATGTCCAACTGTAAACAACTAACTAAACATAAAAAGGACTATATTTAAAATTGAGCATGTTGCATATAATAAGGGCAAATATATACCACACAAGTTATGTAAGATATAACTTATTCTTGGGGAATGTAAAGAAAGTTGGAAAGCCAATTATCTACTACACATTTACTTAATGTGATGTTCTGATAAATGACTTTTTTCCTTCTTTTTTCTTTTTCTTTTCTTTTATTTATTATTATCATTATCATTATTATTATTATTATTATTATTATTATTATCATCATTATTTTTTAGATGGGGAGTCTTGCTCTCCCAGGCTGGAGGGCAGTGGTGAGATCCATATCTGCTCACGGTAACCTCCACCTCCTGGTTTAAGCGATTCTCCTGCCTCAGCCTCATGAGTAGCTGAGATTACAGGCTCCCACTACAATGCCAGGCTAGTATTTGTATTTTTTAGTAAAGACGACGTTTCACCATGTTGGCCCAGCTGATCTCAACCTCCTGACCTCAAGTGATTGGCCTACCTTGGCCTCCCAAAGTGCTGGGATTATAGGCGTAAGCCATTGCACCTGACTGATTTTTTTTTCTTTCAATAAAGTTTTATTTCTTTTTAATTAAAAAAATCAATTCAATATTATTGCAGCTTCATTAATACAGACTCCATCAAACATATTACCTATACTTTGATCATTCTCTGATGATTATTATCCAAAGTATCATATTTATAGCTCAACCTAAAGGATATACTTGCTTTGGGTAAATATTCAGAAGTCATACTCCCATTGTGTCAGTAAAATCAGGGAGAGATTTTTACAGCAGATAGCCTAAGGATGTTTTTGGCCTCGTGTTGAAGATTTTTTATAAACCTCAGTCTGCCTAAAAAACTGGCATTGCTGCTATTTCTATATCGGAGTAAAAGTATCCATAGCTTGGAGATAGGCACAAGAGATCTGTGGGTGTTATTTCAGAGCAGTTTTAACCTTGCATCTTTGATGGACTTTTCTATTGACTAGGCTATATTATAATTCTATATGGACAGAGTTTAATTTTTGGGCTTTTTGTTAGTAGAGGTGCAAATCACTTCTAAGTAGAAAACATAACCCAAAGTTTGTGATTTATTGCTATTTTGTACATTGACCAGTTTGTATCTACCTTAGAATTATTTTATTATCATTCTTTTATGGAATTACCTATCAGATACATAGATTCCAAAATATTCAAACAGGCATTAACAACTTATTGGCTCCTTCTTTAACTGATAAAGTAA